ATTGGTTTACAGTTGTAGGCTTCCAGGAGGAAGACTGACGCCCACCTATTTCTGAAACAGCTATTTAAAACTTGACTGGCATGGAGAGGACACTTTAGTTTAAAACAGCAGGACTTTTTGAACAGCTGGGGGAGGAGACACTGGGGACGGAGCTGTACTGTGTCTTCCAGCATACCATGAGAAATGTCCAAGGTGTGGAATGAGCTCCAGAGTGCCATAGTCTTTGAAGCTTATGAAAACATGGCAAAATATCTTAAAATGTAAAAATATGGCAGATTTCTTTATGGATTCTTTTAAAGTGGATTCTTGGATTCTTTAAGATGGATTCTTCTTTTTCACATTCATTCATGAAAACAGTTAATAGTTATTTTTAATTTTTTGATTAATTTAGACCTGCATTAATTTTCTGAACAGAAGAGCAAAGAATAATTCATTTTCTGTATGAAAGGTTTTGCTGGACACAGCTCTGTTCAGTCTTTATACTGTATTTAAAGAATGGAACTATTGCTCATGAAACCTGTTTTACCTGGAAAGCTGATCAAATTAAGCAACCAAGAGCTATACATTTCTCATCATAATCTTCATGTTATAAGGACTGAAAAATATCATGAGATGAGATAAGAATATCAAAGACTAAGCAAAGAAATAGGAGGTATTGTGGTTAAAGGGATAAAGGCAACCAATATCAACATCCCAAAAAAACATGAGCACTTTTTTCTGACTCCAAGTAGGCACCCAAAGAACAATAAAGCTCACATAGTAATGAAAAATATTGAAAGACAGTGCCTTCATGGAAAACTTTATTTTTGGGGCTGCAGCAGTAAATGATTATAGGTAGTCTAGGAGCGGGGAGTAAAGATAGACATTTATAGTTGGGGAGCTACTTAATACAGACTGCAGCAACTGATAATGAATGGATCTATTATCTCTATTATTATCTTTTATATATGTGATAAGCAAATATTTAAAAGCTTTTTTAAAGAATTCTAAACATAATAAGTATATAGTATATAGAAAAATAGGTATATATAAGTATATAAAAAATATATATAAAGAAATGTTCAATGATGTTCAATTATCTAGCCAGTCATTACTGGCTATGTGGAGATCCACAGGCAGCTGGCAAATTCATTAGGCAATGAGGCTGGTGAGTGATGGGCAGGGAACCAAAGCAGGCCAGCTGGTGGACTACACACCAGGTTGTGCCCAGCTGTTTGGAGCTTTACTGTCCAGTGTTGAGGGGCAGACAGTAGGAAATGGGGTCCAACTGCAAGTAAAACCAAGGGCAGACGCAGTCGGGCCACAGGTGAGGAACTGTGCTGCTGCCAGAAGGGCTAGACACCAGACAGGAACTTTGCAGATGAATGGGTTGGGTGCCAGGCAATCTCTGGATTGAGCGCCAAAGCAGGCTGCCTTAAGGAAGGGTGTAAAAGCAGGAAGAAGAAGAGAGAGAAATTACAAGTGGCTGGGAAGTAAGGAAAGTGAAGACAATGATAAAGGTGACAAAATAGCAGATGAACTGTTACAGGTTCTGGTTGGAACTGGAGTTCTGCAGGGGGCTAACATCTGAAAAGTGTGTGCCTGTTCTTTCACAAAGTAAGGCTTGCTGTCCTATTTTCAGCACACATTGAAATTATGTACAGTCTGCAGTAACCGTGAACATCTGTTTGAACACTACTGGCATTCGTTCAGGTTGAGGAGCTGGGATGAGATCATCATAGTAGCTGCCTTGTGCAGATTCACCTTAGCAAAGGCAAAGAAACTGTGCAAGAAAAACTATTTCAAATGAGTCTAACCTTATGGTAAAAGCATAATTAGACATGGAGGAGATGATCTGGGTGGGGTAATGATCTGGAGAACAAGGAGAATAGCTGAGGTGAGAAGCTGGTTAGAGACACAGCAGGAGAGAGACACATCAGGTTGCAGGATGGGCCACTGACAAGCTGTTCTGTTTCAAGGTGAGAAATGATAGAAGAACAACTTCTTGCAAGTAAAAAAAACTACAATCAATTGCTAAACCAGATGGTTGGTTGGAAGTGAAGTGGGGAATGTGTGGCAATGGTGGGTTAAGCTGCAGTAAAATCTAAGAGAGAGTTGAGTTCCTGAACCTTGTCTTAAACTGCATGTGGAGAAGATCTGATTGCACTGTGGTCTATATTGTAGATAAGTGGAAAACAAACCTAAAATGTTAGGTACATGGAAAATACATATGTGAGAAGGGAACAGGAGGCTGAAAGGAAGCAAACCAAAAACAAAGGTAGTACTGGGGAGCATTGGCACAGCAAAATAGTAAAGAGAGCAATTTACACACAAGAGTTGGATGGTTAATTGTTAGATATCTAATACTTATATTTAAATGACCAGAAATGAGGTTGTCCCTCTCCTGGACCACTATTAAAACCCCTTTAAAACCATAATTTATAAAAAAATGTACTTAATAACTCAGACCAGCCTTCTAGCACTTGAATTGCACTGTGATCCCCCACACAACTGGCAAAAATCTGCCTTTGCTTTTACAGAACCCAAAGTGGTGCTTGACCCTCTTATTATCTCTAATGTAGTGCTGGAAAGCATTCTAAACATGGTAACACAACTGCACTTAAAGGATTTTGCATTCCCATTGAAGAAGAACCCATGATTTGATTTTCTCAATATGGTAAAGGCCTATCGCTTTCACAAATAATATGGATTTTGATTTGATTTATGTGAAATGGAAACCTAAATTCTTATTGAAAAAAGCAGATAATAAGATGATGGTATATAAAAATACCTCAAATTTTCACTTACTATGTAAAAATTGTCAATGGTGGTAAACACTATGATGATTAACCCATATACATACAGTATAACTGATGTTGCTTCTATAAGCTGCTTCACCACTTCTGCAAACCACAAAATCTACTATTACTATTGCTATTACAAGCACTATGAAGCTGGTAGAAGAAGGAAGAGGATGAAGAAGAGGAGAAAATTTGGATAAAAATAAGAATATAGCCTCTGTTAGGTGAAATCACCTAAGGAGTGGCTTGTAAGCCCTTGAGGGCTCTATTAGCAGTCCTGCTTTCTGACAACCGGGTGTCAGCAGTGTGTGGAAAAAAAAAAATTATCAGGTCATTTCTGACAAGCACTTGTTCTACTGTTCAAATGTTAACACTCTTCCCAGCAGCTTCGCTTAAACACAAAACCCTTCTGAAAAATATAAAACACAGTGACCCTTAGAATACTGAGATTTAAAATATAATCTTTAGATATGCAAATTCAATTCAATTTTTTTCTGAAAGATTATCTCTGTCAGACTTTATCCTTTGTGTGTTTAAAAGTGTAATTGTAAGTATAAGATAAAAACATTTACTGTATTCAAATAAAACTGTAAACAACTTAAAATTACATAGTGTACAGAATATGGTATATAAAATTTCAGTTTAAAAAATCATAGAAACATATTTTAGGTTTTAAATTCATAATAAACCTTAAATATCTAAGACTAAAAAAGTAAAATACACAATAATGGATTATATATATATATTTGATTTAATAATATTTAATGTTAATTAGTGCAAATCACTCTGAACATTTCTGACAATGAACGTCACAGAAACAAACTGTAAAACTGACACTTTAGATTGAGATTGAGATTAAGATAGATTGTGATTATGGGATAGAAATAAATCAGGCAAGTAGTTATCATCAGAGGAAACCAATGTGTATTTCAATATCTTTCCTATCACTTGACTGACAAGCAGGTTGCCACAGGTTTTAATGGAAGCATTGCTGCATAGAAAGCAATGTCAAAACCTATATGGTACCAATGTTAAGAAGTTAAAAAATAAAGAAATTTGAAAGAAATCACAAAATCACATATTCAGAGTAGTGCTGGGAATTGTAAAATGCAAACTTTCAGCAGCCAGCTGTGAAACATGGAGATACATTTGAAACTGTTTAGAGAGATTGGGTCAATAAGGTATTAATAAAAGACTTGCTAAACAAATAGAAGTGGCAAGCATGTATTGTAACAGCGGTACATTCATCAGAAAATCATCTAATTGCACAAATAACATTGATTCCAAAATCCCAAACACCAAATATAAAGCTACTCTGCAACCAAAAAAAAACAATTAAAACATTCTATCATTAAATCACCCATTTTTCTACACAATGCACTATGTACATTATTTTGTGTATTACAGTATAAATATACTGTAACTACAAAGAGTTCTATGGAGCCTGTGTTGTTTGTTAAGGATACATTATAAATAAGATATTCAAGATATCAAAGAGATATTTAAATCATCTTTCACTTTACAATACAATATACAGTAATGAAAGGTATGCTGCTAGAAATGGTAAATGTAGCTGTTTCAAAGAATAGTATTTGCTGTGCTGCAATATTTATTCCAAAAAATATTATTATGAATCAAGGGTACAGTTCAATGTTAATTAAAACATTATGAGTAGCTCAAAAACCTTGTAACCAGGGGTGGTCCTTGTGAGTCAGAAAGGATGTAAAGTATGTCTCTATAACTCACTTACACATAATTACAAAGCCTGGACATTGAAACTCTGCCTTGCTCTCCTAGGAGTCTTAGTTAAATCAGAGGCAATGACAAGTACTGACATCCACCTGTCTTAAGCCTTTCTGCAATGTGTGTAGGTCAGGGGGTGGTAATGGGGGAGGGAGGGCATTACTCCACTCTGCTCTCTCTTGCAGTTAAGAAATGATGAAGCTCTCAATTAACATACAGAATTCACACAGGTTTAAAGTACTCTGGATTTTCTACAACAACATTCTATGTTCTCTCTGTTTTTCTCTGTAATTGTGATTAAGTTCTGACATGTTCATTAAGCATTTCATTCAATGCTTTATTTTGGAAAACCTTAGTATGTACAGTATGCGGCAAACCTATATTTATGCTCCATGTCAAAGACCTGAAGTGAGCAATTATCTGTCTACTCTGTATCTCCTGAATGTTATCCAATATATTTTTAAGAAGAACACTCACCCTCCATAGTGTCCTCACATCTCTGGTTAAAGTTCTCATAGGAATCCCAACGGATGAGAGGATCCTGTGTGTTATAATCCACTGAGACACTTGGGCCATTCTCCAGGTGATCCATTCCTTGGAAAAAAAATAAATTTGTTAGGCAAGGGTCGAAATGTAAAGGTCTTTAACTCAAATGTCGAGTCATTTTCTGACTGCTTTAACCTATACAGTGTTGCGGAGGAGTCATTGCCAGTTCATGACATGGCACACACAGACACAAATATGCACACAATCACAGTAGGGCCAATTTTCAGAGGCCCGGCAGTATGTCTTTGGACTGTGAGAGAAAACCGGAGCACCTGGAAGAAACCCACACAAACATGAGAAGAACAGACAAACTCAGATAGTACCCCTGGTCTGGATTTCATAATTAATAATAGTAATTCCTTATGGTTATATTGCGCATTTCTGGACACTCCACTCAAAGTACGTTAGAGGTTACACAGTTAGTGATTTGATTCCATAATTATACAAGTAATGAAAGACTAATTGGTCTATGATTTTCCAGTTCACTTTTGTTTTTTTATGCAATTGTTTTCTGTTTAGAAATTCTCCATTCTGTGAGTACAGCTCCCATCCTTCATACCAATTGATATATTGTGATCAAAGTTCTATGAACAGCATCTCTCAACATGCGGTACTTTTTCTAACAATGTAAGTCACCATCGGTAAGGGTTTCCTCTAAGATATGAGCTATTAATACCACACATCTAAAAGTGACAAGAAAATAATTACCTTGAATTTTTTCTGGCCCAAATGAGAAGACAAACTCCACTTTACCATACTCTGGGAATCGGTCATCTGTAAGAAGAGAAATAGGAAAAAAAACCTGAAATGGCATTACTGATAAAAATGTAAGTGAAATATATGTATTATGCATATTATTTCATTTAAAGTGCTGTAATATACTAATTCAAAATATGATAATTCAGAAATAATTCAGAAGTACAATAGGAAAATATACAATGTTTTGTATATAAACTCTATAAATGTACAGATATATACAGTGGCTATTAAAAGTATTTTCACATTTTATTACAATATGGAGTCATAATTTATCTAATTTCAATAGTTGCCATTAATCTACACAAAACACTCTTAATGTCAAGGTGAAATAAAAATATTACAGATCTTCCTAAATTAATTATAAATATAAAACATGTAGAATATATATATAGATTTGAAAATAACTTATAAGTGTGGGTGGTTATCTATTAGAATATATGTGTAGATAAATGACTTATTGTATATTTACCTTTAAAAGTTTCATCCAGCTCATCCTTGCCAAAGACAATCCCTAGGTCATGGACTGCACAGGTGTGGAACTGCACTCGGAATATGACATCTCTGGTGGGGCTTCGGAACCTCTTGTGGTAACACTTTAGCTGCAGGGAGAGGAGAGATTCCAATAAGCTTTTGTCATGGTAAAGACCAGGTTCAAACATCCATGGACTTGTAGAGCTGCCACTTTGGGTCAACATGCTATAAGTTCTTCTTCTGGGTCTAAGAGAGTATTAAATGTTGTCTTAAATGTACTGTTAAAATAAAGAAGTTATGACAGCAGTATAATCTACCTTATGCTGACATCACACTACACGACTTTTCCTAGGATTTTCAGTCATAGCCTTTATTTACATAATCGTAAGAAAATCAAAGCGAATTGCAGAGAGTCACAGCATGCGCCCGTTACCATCAGTTGTGTAGTGTGACACCCCCAGAGACTCAGTCATAGAACTCTTAATAGCCCCTATGACTCTCTGCGACTAGATACGATAAAATCAATATGGTTTGATTTTCTTGTAGCGAGTCGCAAGTCGTAGGGGTGGATAGTGAGCCAGAATAATAATAATAATAAACTTTATTTTATATAGCGCCTTTACAGGTGGCTTCTCAAAGCCCTTTACAGGATGCCAATAACAATAAATAAGAAGACTACAACAATAAATAAGAAGATTTCACAAGATAGGACACAATTATAATTACAACAATACAACAATCACAATAGAGGAGACCGTGGAAGGTGGTATTAAGAAAAGCAGAGGGGTGAAGAATGGAACCAGTAAGTAAAGGCTTTTCTGAAGAAGAGGGTTTTGAGTCTGGATTTGAAGGAGTTTAGAGAAGGTGACTCTCTAATATCCTTGAGCAAAGAGTTCCAGAGCTTGGGGGCATAGCAGGAGAAGGCCCTGTCGCCCATACAATGTAGACGGGCTTGGGGGAGTAAGGAGGGCAGAATTTGAAGAGCGGAGGTTGCGAGGTGGGGAGTAGGGCGATAAAAGTTCAGACAGGTATTGAGGTGCCAAGCCATGTAAAGCCTTATAGGTGAGCATGAGAATTTTAAAGTCTACGCGGAAGTGTACTTGCGAGATAATGTGCCCATTATATTACAAGTTATAGTGCAATACTTATTTGTTTACAATATTTGTTTTAAAGGTGTTTTATATTTTTAAGTGTTTTATTTTTGTAATTGTGTTCTTTATTTATAAAAATAATTATACTGCTGAAGATGTTTATTTGTGGAAAACAATGCCTGTGTTACATTTTTCAAGATGTTTACGTGCTTGTTCAGATGGGGACAAATGAGGTGACCTCGCAGTACTTTCGCGGCACAATATGAGATTTGGAAACGTGAAGAAAAGTCTTGAGGGAATCATATAATTAGTCACACCCTGTGATTCCTAGTCATATAATTTGACATCCTCTAGGACAGAAAAGGCAGCGAGATTCAGCAACTGCAGTTGTTATATTTGACATGCTCTCAAAGTATAAGTCGTGTTGAGTCATGTAGTGTGACGCTGGCTTTAGAAAGACATATTCTCTAATACAGTGTGACCGAAATGGCTTTTCATTAAGTTACGTGTAAAGTAGTGCAACATTCTTTGGTATATCAGTGTGACACTAAGACTTAAAAAAAGACACTGACAAGATTTTAAAAAACATTACTTTAAATATGCAATTTTGCTTTTCTGCATAAGCACTATCAACCTGAATGAAAAAAAACTGTTACATGTACTACTCTGCATGTTGTTTTATGGTTTCAGAGAACAGAAAATAATGCAAGTAGCATACATGTCTTTATTTGAAGGAAAACAAACCTGCCAAACTGGTTGTATGATAGATTACTGTTCTGCATCTCAATTCTATGCAGACCTTCTAATTTAATAAGAAAAAGAAAAGCCATATGTAGACTAGTAAATGTTCAGCATGAGTCCTTCACAAAAGGATCATTATTCAGCCTGGATTCTTCTGATGCAAGATCCTGTTAGGAAACACTTAAAGGGCAAAGGCTTTTTAAAGGAAACAGCCAACCTGTTTCATTCCAGCAAAGGCTTCTATTCTAGTCCAGGTTTTTAATCTTAGTTTTTTTTTTTTCAATTAAGCCTTCACGCTTGCTGTGGCAAGAAAAATGTTGTTATATACAGTACTGTAGGTTACTATTCAAATATCTGTAAAAGCGCTCTTAACCAACAACGTCAGAAAAATACATTGTATTTAATTGGCAACAGCGAAGACCAGCCTAGAGCAGCAAATGTCAACTATCCATGCACAAAAGATTAGTTATAATATTAAAATGCTGTATACAAATGATAGTATTACAAAATGATATTTCTATCCTTGGAACTACAGCTTTTACTCTTCTAATTCATCGCCTTTTCTACTTTTGCTTGTTGTATTTTTTGCAGGACAGAATATCCATAAACATGAACCATCTTTCCTGCATCTTTGCAGTACAATATTAAACACCAAAAGAGAAAGAGGAAATATCCCTGGGTCCCATGCCAATGATTGTAATCCAAGCCTCCACATGCTGGACAGCAAAACTATAATTATGAGATTAGAATAAGGCCATAAGGATTCAAAGAATGCACAGGTTTTCTATTACTAAAGACTGCAACAAAATAAACAAAATTAATTCAGTTTTTAAGTGGTTTTTGATTCTGTTTTTATGAAAATCCCACTTAATAATTCATTTGAGGATTGAAGGAAAACTAGAAATAATAAAATATTCTTCTACATAAAAAAATAACTGTTTTCTTTTTGACTGACAAACGACCTTAAAACACATACAAAGCTGGGGATTATCTGAAAGTGGCCTTAGAATACATTGCATCAGCTGCATTAATAATAATGACCATTTCTATGAAAATATTCAGAAACTGGGGATTCAGAAGCTTGATCTTAACACTTGTTTCAGTTCCTTTATGTTCCTTACCATAAAGGATTTAATAACTGGTACTTCCTGGTGTAAAAGAATATTACTTTTTATTTAACTGACAAGGAGGAAATCATTACTTCATTCCTTTCATTAATGCTCCAATTTAAGATGGCATTTTTTTTTTATTTCTCTTTTATCTCTCTCCAGCTTCTGCATAATGTATGGTCATTATTGTGTGCTGTTATTCATAGGTTACCAGTAGGGAATTGCTTCCTGACAACTAGTTGTTAACTAGTTGGTAATATACCTCTGTCAAAGATATACAGTATTTAACTTATATAAATTAAAATAATTTAAATATCTTTGTTATGTGAAAAAGGTCTGGTGGACTTAGCCCTGGATTTTTTTTTAGTACAGTATGTGTAAATATCCTGCATTCTGATCATCTAGATCAGTTGTTCTCAATTGTGGTCCGCAGACCAGAGCGTGCACCAGGTGGTCCATGGGCTGACCTGATCATCTTTCTTAAAGCAAGTCTACAATGTTTGCTACGAAGGGGCTCCACCTGGGAGCACTGTTAAGAACTGCAAGCTGTAAATAGAGGGAGGAGGGAGTTGTGTGTTGGTTCTAGGTATCCGGGTTTCAGCAGCCGTTAAGGGGATTATATGTGTCAGTAATGTGGCGAGCACTAGCCTAGTCGTAGGCTTGGCTGGCTTGAGGGTTTGCTGAAAGGGCAATGTTTCCATTCATTCTCCTTGGCTGTACCGTTCTGTTGACTTTGTGATTTTATTAAGCTTGAGTTATGGCGGACCACCTCGCCTCTTTATTTTCCCCATCAATGCCTATCACTACAGTGTTTTAGTTTTGTGCAGCAAGGATGAAATGATGTCACACATTGAAAACGAGACAGTCAGTTTGGCGGCAACGTCCTTGCCGCTGTGCAGCAGTCTATTGTCGTTACTGATGCACGGGTCAGCTTTTTATTTTACCCGCCCCCACCCGACCCGATTTAAAATGACAAGGTCAGTTTTAAACCTTAAAATCACTTTAATTTAAGATACAAACGATCAGTTTTGTACAATCCGAATATGCTGGACTTATTGACATAGCTCTGAAGCATTCCCAACCGTTCCCAACAACCTAAGCTTGTGAGCTTGGATTTTCGACACTTGTTGGACTGAAACCAAAGAAGATAAATCAGCTGAACATGGAGCCAGACATGAGACTAAAGTTGTCCAGCTTGGATCCAGATATCTCTTCTCTGACTGCTCAACAAAAGGAGCTCCATTCTTCACATTACCTTTTTAAGTAATAAAAACATTTACAGAATATGCAGCTTTGTTTGTAAAAATATTAGTACTTTCCATAAAATTTTATTCAATATTAGTTATTTTTAGTTCATTAATGGGTGATAATTTTTACAGGGTAAGTGGACGTAGGCATAGGTGGTCCACCATATCTGTGACTTAGTGTAAGTGGTCCACGGACCACAGAACTTTGAAAACCACTGATCTAGATAATTACTGGATGATTTGTTTGTCAAGTACTATAAATATTAATGTAAAAACGCAATGCTCTTTTTAAGTATAGTAAAGTATCAGTCATGAAAAAATGCACAAATTACAAGTGCAAATTCAACTTGATTATCTGGGAATGTAAACATTCAAGAATTTATCATCTTTCTGGCAGTAGCAGTGTTAGTAGCAAGGAAACAAAATGGATATACAGTATAGTTTTTTCACAAGTTGGTCATTGTCAGGATAGAACCGCCAATTACATTCAGCTCTTCTCAGTCTGTTTGTCTCCCATAATAAACACCTTGGGATTCATGGCTATAATCTATTTTATTGCTTGTTTCTATTATGTCATCAAAAATCCATTGCTGATTAAACTGAATGAGTGTGAATTAAAGATAAACTTTAATTTATATATACTGTATATGAATGGGACACAATGTCAAATGTTAGACATTAGTGAGCCTTACGCTATATTGCTTCAAGATTATTGATAGTAGTGCAAGGCGGAAAGCATGCACATCCAAAAGGTTATACAGTGGTACATTACAAAATATACAGAAGGAAAGCCCCTCATAGTTATTTAAATGTTACAAAATGTTTATTCAAACAACACACATAATCATAACATTAATGTTTCAACCAGAGTTTAAAACATATTATTTAAATAAAAGTTAATTTTCCATTCACAAAGTAAACCATATTAACAAAACAATTAGGATCCATCAAGTCTCTTCATTTATCTTTTACTAAAGGACCTTTAAATGAGTATCCCCCCATAAAAAAACACGTATATGGGTAAACAAGATCACTGCTAGTAATCGAAATTATTATTCATTTTTTAATAAACACTAATACTATAATGTTTTATTTCTTAAGACCTATTTAATTCAACATAACAATACCAACAGTATCAGCAATACCAACAAATGCAACATGATTTGAAGTTGGTCACTTGTTCCATTACTTCAGTTCTGAAATGAAGAGTTTTATGGTCTAACTTTAGGATGACTACAAATTTTTTTCCACCTTATTTCATGAAGTTAATGGAAAACACATTCTCATTTTCACACAATAGTGATCTGGAGGCCCATTTATACAGCAGGGTATTGACAGGAGATGCAGTGGTTAGCATTGCTGCCCCTGCAGCACTGAGACCCTGGGTTCAATTCCAGACCTGGGATCCTTTCTGCGTGGAGTTTCTATGTTCACCCTGTATTTGCATGACTTTCTTCTAAGTGCTTGTCTTTCCTTCCACAGTCCAAAGACATACTGGTAGGCCAGTTGGCTTCTTTGAAAATGTGACCCTACTGTGATTGTGGACATATTTGTGTAATGAACAAGTAATAAGTTTGTTCCATGCTGAAAAGAGAAGAAAGAAAACACAACCTTCTGAAGAAGGCTCCATGGCCGAAACGTTGTGTTTTCTTTCTTCTTTTTTCAGCATGGAATAAACCTATTACTTCTTCCTTTGCAGCCTACGCATGCTGATGCAGCTACCCACCTGAACTATATTTGTCTAAGTATAAGTTGCCCTGGTGTGAATGTCTGTGTGTACTGTATGTGTCTACATGGCACAAACGGACGCACGCACAGACAATCCAGGGTGTACCCCATCCTGCACCTGTTACTTGTCGAGATAGGCTCAGGCTCCCCTGCAACCCTGAATTCAATGAAGAAAGTCAATGGTTGTGTGCTATTGACAGGAGCAATGTGAATTAATTGTCTGGCTCAAGCAGTGTCCCATGTTTAGCTCTAGTCTAGAGCCCAGAATCCTAACCACCCTTCCTAGATAGTCCCACTTCATAAAAAATACTGAATCCTGTTGGGATTCCCTGACAAACAATCCTAAGGTTCCAGTCAATTGTCTTCTCTCAGCTGTTCTCCAAATTTGGTGTTATGGCCAAAAGTACATGAGAAACCTGCTATATAAAATTTTTGTAAAACTAAATTTGCATATTTTCAAAAGATTTTAATGTAACATCCCGGTCCACAAATATTGTTTGCAAGTATTGTATTATTATCTTACCAGAATGTCCCCTTTCAGAAGTAACCCAGGCTCAATTGTGATGCAGATGCTGGTTTGACTATCTCCCTGGACATTGCTAGAATTGGAGTTGAGAAAGAAATCAAGGTTATTTTTGATGGTTCATCAAATCAGATCAATTCATTGCTTGTACATATTTTTCTGTTTCATTGAGAAAGCTGAATAATAGCTATTTTAAATAGATTGACAACAAGCTTGAATATAATCGTTTTTCTGGTTTTAACATTTGAAATTCTCAAGTTCAGATCCTTTAAGTGAAGTAGTAATTGTGACATTAAAAAAATCTATAAGAGTTGACAGAAAAAAGAAGTGCAGTGAAACTGAATATTTGACTTCCATCAAGATTTATTTTAGTTACAGTCCTCTAGAGTTGTGGTGCAGATAGAGTATCAGGAGCCTCATAAAAACAGGGTGGTGGCCATTACACCAGAGCTGTTAGCATTCCCTGCAGGTCGGGATAATCTGGGGCTAAGCTCTTAATCAGAGAATTAAACAGAACACTTTCCCTTCAAAATAAGAATTTCAGATAGTTTGTCTACTCTCAAATCCCTAGCTCATCATCTAAGACCTGACATATGTCTGCTAGAAGTTTAGCAAATACAAAAGCTCTGGTCTTTTTTCTTCTCTTTTTTCTAACTTAAGTTTAAAAATTCAGACTTTTTAAAACAAATAAACTACACAAATATTTTTCACTTAATGGAGTGGCTTAATGGAGTGGCTGTGCTCTTGTGACATTCCTTTTCAACAAAATAGGAACAAGTTAAGTTTAATGTCATGTTGAAAAGTAGAAAGAAGGAACAAAATGTTTCACACATCTGAAGAAGGCTCAATAGACAAAATGCTATATTTCGTCTGTCAACTTTTCAGGGTGGAAATAACTCTACTAACCACAGGAATATAAAATATTAGGATGCTTGCTTTTATTTCCTTTCTAAAACATACATAAATTGTACACATTTTAGTAATAATCATATTGCAATTATAATGCCTTACATTTATACTTACTGAGTACTTTTCTAGCTAAAGAATTCCAAATCACTTTTCATGCAGTAGAGGATCTAGTTTATCCAGCACTGAAGTACAGTAGCCACTGGGTGATGCACAGCAGCCAGTGCCAACAGTCTCAATACACATCAGATCATGTGGATAAGTGAGAAATTGCTTCACCAATTGAATTTAGGAAGAACTTTAAAGAACTTTAGAAATTCTTTATAACTTAGGCTGGATTGTGCCAACCCAATGCAGAATTCAGCCAGGATATTTGAATCAACAGATTTATTACCACTTTTAAGGAGTTTTATGGCAGTTTTGTTTGAAATAATTTTGTCAATTCACACACATACATAAAATACATATCTACATACAGTAATATTGTATGTATTTCAATGACTGATATCCATCAAATGCACTCTCATTCAAAGTGTTTTTTCCATGTCAGTTAATAAAAAGCCCAACAATACTACCACTATACCGTTCCATATGCAGTACAATATCTCCACATTCAGTGTATATTATCTTTCTTTTGGATGGTATATACAGTACTGTATCAGGGAATTCAGAGAAATGACAAGGAAAGTCCACAGAACACACAATTGAGAATGGTATTCATTTTCCACAGCATTTTGGAAACAATGAATCTTTGTGACTTTGGAACTCTTCATACTGTCACTTCATGGCAGATACACAAAGTCCAGATGATTGGTGTGGAAAACTATAAGGCTTTTTTCTTTATTACAGCGATGCCATTCAGGCACCTTGCCAGCACAGCAAGAAATTGGAAAGGGGGGAGGGCATTAAAGTGAATGTTTCACTTACTAGATCCCAGATGTGTACACTGGCTGCATCGCCTGGTAAATCTTGAGGAAAGGGCGGCAACCTGGAAAGACACCGGAGAACAAAAAACAGGAAAACTCGTTAGCAATGGGACTGGCCAGAGTAAAACAAAGGCCTCAAAGCTTCCAAGACAAATAACTGTATATCAAATGAGGGTTGAGAGGGATGGGAGTCCACAGATACGTAACAGCTTTGCTGGTCTCTTCAAAGAACAATTCCAGTCCAAAGAATTGCAGCACCAAACTTGTCTGCCCTCCTCTTAAACATGCTTTAAACACCTTCCATTCACAGAATTCCAACACCTCATTCATCTCTCTAGTGCAATCTGAACATATTTAGTTGATTTGTAATATTTTGAAAATCACTTAAGGTACAATGCAAATGACAGTTACTAAAATTAAATCAGTTTGTCACTGTTTTGTTCCAACTCCATTGCCATTCATCTAAGGAGAAAATGTGGATCATAATCATAGATTGCAACTTTTGGATAGGATGGCATGAACTCAAGAGTTGGCCATTTCTGTGACAGACAGCTTTAGTTGCTGTCAGATTCCATACAGTTTTAAAATGCGCCATATGCCAACCTCTCTGGCAAGATCCTACTGTATCATTCCCAGGGGATCTGATTATCTTTTGTAATTTCTGCATTCAATTTATTGAATGTTAGTGACTGAATTAAACTTAATAATATATTAAATAATAATAATTATAATAATAATAAAATAAAGCTGGTGTTATAAAATAAATAAAGGTACATTAAACCCTTTTTTCTGGCAAAAAAAATGAAAAGTAGCTTTTACTCACCTCCTTTGGATTCAAAGTTTGGGATTCCATGCATGATGACATGGTGTAAAAATAATGGCTTATTGTTTATTTTGATAGTCCCAGACAGCAAGCCACTGAAGTACTGCACATATCTGCAAGAAGGTATGAATGACTTATATTTCAAAGTATTAAGCATAAAGAGCATTATTAACAGTAGTATTATTAGTAATTGTAATATAGCATAAGAAAAACAATATGAACTTAACAAATGTCTCCAAAACACAAATGTAAGCACATACTGTATGTCTAGTAAAGGACAAGAAAGTATATTATTTTAAAATATTAAACAGTATCATTGTCAATTATATATTAACAAATTAAAATGTTATGTTAATCAACATTAATCAATGTTTTTTAGTTTAGTGCTCAGTACAGTATGTGTTCTTATATTAAACTGGTGGGCTGCTGTTGTATTATCTCTCTTTCCATGTGTGCCTAAGGGATCAGTGAAGTTCTAATTGATAACCTGGCATGTATTTTTATTCCTAGGAATAAAGGAATAATTATCATTCTTTACATTTATATAGTGTTCAAAGTGTACAGTGCATTTATATAGAAGATTCATTACCACATGTTAAAACTGTTATGTATGTGGATCAATGTAGATAGTTTCTTAAACAGAAAAGCTAGAACAATCTCTCTGGTTTAATTCCCTGTCCTTTGCACATACAACAGAAATGACCACAATACAAAAGCTTCTCTGGCTTGTGTCCCAGGACCTATTTTCCATGAACCACTAGACCAGTTCCACAGCTCAACTTGTCAAAAACGCCTTGAGTGAAACCTCACAGTATTTTCTCCTTCTTTAGTGTGGATATTCATGTTTTCCATATCCAGCAACCCATACACCAAGAACTCAGCTTATTTGTTTCTCTGTGTGCTGCTGTGGTATATATAGACTAAATCCAAAAGGCATCCCACATCAAAACAGGGTGTAGTGCAAGACAAGTGTCCTTTAAATACAATATTACTGTTGTAAATGCATGATCTTTTTCTAGAAGTGTTTGTATGACATATCTTTGAGCAAGCAGAATGTTTTTGAACAATCAGCTCCAATTTCAAACCACTGTACTCAAGCCTACTTTGTTATCCATACCTAACTACAAGTTTTCAGAGCTGACACTAGCAGTGGATTTCACATTAAGACTTTGAAAACTCTCAGTTCAATACTGGTTTGGCAGTGTAGAAATTCAGCTCTCTCCATGTTAATGTCACACATGCCTCCCATAATAACTGCAGACTGTTAGGCACTCCAGTCCTGGCTAATTATATATCAGTCAGGAAATAGCAGAGTAGAAGCATAAAGTTGAGGCATGGCAACTAAAGCCCCTTTAAAGATTGGAGTGAGCCATTATTCTAAAAGTGGAGCACTCTTACAGCACCAACGGACTTCACTTTGTGACAGCCTTTCTAAATTATTTCTGTTTATTAAGAGAAACATACAATTAAATGGGTGTATCCACATATACTAGAAGTCTGTTACAGTTGTATAAAACAAAAATTCAGAAGCACTGACCAAGAAAAAAGATTATAGTTCTGAGCAACTAACACTTAACTTCAAAAACCAAGCACTCTTTCTCCTTAGTAATCTCTGAAATATTGAGATTCCCATAACACAAGTGTTGGTTTTATTTATGATGGATAATTTGAAAACTATGTTACCATAATAGGATCATGATTAGCTTTATAGGACAGTTAACTTTGTAAATAAATCAGTAAGCTGTTCAATGCCAGGTACTGCAGCTTGTGAGAACTACCATCTTTATTTCAGCCTTATATAATAAGAAATCATTCATACTTGTCCACTTTTTCAGAAATCCATTTATCAATTGACAGTGTACAATGAAAACCTGTGAACAGCCCAAAGACTAGATACAAAATATACTGTAGAAGATGTCACAACAAGCACTTTTCCATGGTAAAAACAATATATATTGCAACCAGGGTCAAACTCATAAACTGCACAGGAAGGTACCAAGGAGTTAAACAGGAAGTGCAATCAAACTGACCTCTTCTGGGAGGGTTGGCCCACAGGAAGCACTTTATCTTCATAAAACCTCTTCATGGCAAATCTGTCCAGGGCTTGATCTGCACTGCATTGCAAGAGTTGCATCTTTTCAATATTCGCTTCAGCTGCCATATTTCAGCTTTTATTGTTGTATACATTGGTATGCATGAAGTGTAAGCAACTTGCAAAACAGCTTCTAATGAGCTTACCGTCATAAATGACCATAATGGCATATGTCTAATGAAAGTAATATAAATACCATAAATTCTGAAAGATTCAGAGTTGACAATTTCTATCACTCAACAGACAATGATATTATAGAGAAGGTGAATAAATGTTTAAAGCACAATATCTACTATCACCACTGTTTATTTACAATATCTAATATTTGTCTACCATTTCCACTTTTAACAAAAGCTATACCTCTACGATTACAGCTCTGTGTCTCCTATGCTGTGTTTCCTATGCTGAAAGAGGCCAATGAAAAACTGAATGTTTTAATAAAAGGCAGACTTCTTTTAATAGTCTTCAATTTATCCTAACTTTATAGTATCAATAAAAAACAACTAGTAGGGTTAGTGTTATAAAGGATTTATTTGATCGATATTTTTTTTTGTATTTGTATTTGTTTTCCAAATCATTATTTCAGTTGCCTCTGAGGCCAGAGTGTTTGTAATGTATAGTCTCATTGTTTTATTGATACTGTATATTTGAAGTCTTTTAATGAAAAATTAAGGCTTCCTGTTTCATCTCACATACTGTATCTACTCATTTAATTTCATAAAGATTATGCCCTTCATTTACAAAGCTATTTGGAGTTATTACCCATAATATTATCTCTTACAAAAATCACTTACCTGGCTGAAATATTGCTGTAATGCATGTAAGCTGCCACTACTACCCCAGTCCTCCCACGATTGCCCTGCAAAAAGTTGAAAGATTTTCCATGAGACAAGGGTTTATATTGATCAATTCATGAGCACAATAAACATGATCCAATAAAGACCTACAAAATGATTCTGCAGTTTCATAGTACAGGTATGCGAATCTACATATATGGATTTATATAGGAAAGCTGAGGAAAACTGACTTTGTAAACATTTTGTTGAAAATTATTGTTTTTATAAAAGCTGTTTTTAAATATGATGATGTTTCTTCATTTGTGAAAATGTCACCTTTTACTCTTTTTTGTGACTAAACATGCAGGCATCAAAAATTGTGTTTTGTTGTTTTTGAACAGTAAAGAACAGCTGTAATTAAGCACTAAGTAAAATCAGCAATGATAGTGTGACACAAAATACTCGCAAAAAGTTATTTAATAAAATTTGTCAGAACTGAATCTGAAAACAGTTAAACATTAATTTATTTCCCTCATGTGTTGTATAAAACCAGTAATAAACAGCACAGGGAACTGCTATTCAGGTCAAGATGAAATTTGTAAATACTGTAGGACTTTTCAAAACACAAGAAATAAACATAATAATAATAATTTTGATTTTATGAATGGAAGCTCAGTTCTTCATCCTTGTCATCTAAATGAGGCTGAAAAGTGGCACAAATTGTCACCATGGTAATTATTTGTTTTTCTTGTTGACAGAAAACATTTCACATTTTATACTTTATGTTTACTTGCATTCCCCCACCATGCTTACTAATAAAAAAGACAGTATATCCATATCATCCTGATAATATTTTATAACCTTTCCTAAAACCATAGTGAGGGTAAATAACATGAAGGTCATGTACAACTGGTGTGTAAAATGTGATGGAAAATTGCCATCACTAACCATATACTGCCACAAAAATGAAATAAAACATCACTCCAACTTTTCCCATTGTCAAGTCTCTATTGTTATCATTGGCAATTGAGTATATGGCATTTTCCAGCTGGTAAAATCCATTTACCATTATCAAATTTCTTTAGGAATTATTTTCAGCTATGCAAAATGAGGAAAAAGAGGTATTTTGATAGTATTGCCTTTCAGTACAATAATATAACCACCATGCCAGTAAATCCTGTTTATGGATAGGAAAAAAGGACATTGAAATTATAACTTTCTGTCTTGATAAAACAGATGACAGGTCATCATATGATTAAATAAAACGAGGCTATATAATTAATATATGAATATTTTTTATGGCTTTATAAATAGTGTTAGTACTCATTTAGTTTCTTTAGGTATTAGGTGAAACTGGTTAATGCTACTGTTGACATTTTGTACAATGGTCGGAAAACATGTCTTAGATGTTAGATTGGCTTATCAGTTATTTTTTAGATTTATCTTGAATGCTGTAATTCCTGTCATTAATACATTTGGAAAGCAAAGAGGGGATTATTCAAGTTTATGAAACAGATAAAAAAACATCAAAGCTAATTTCTAGAGATGTTGATCGTTTATACTCTAAGGAAAGGAAAGATGTGGTGGTAGGGTTATGTATGGCATTGTGAAAATAGTAATTTGCAACAGACGCATTGTACACAAACAAAAGAGAAAAGACAGACAAGGATAGATATACAAATGGATAAAAATATTGTTTCTGTTGAACTTTAACTAGAGATATGAAAAACCCTCTATAAAAACATAATACAAACAGTCCTATCTAAGAAAAGAAAAAAGAAAAGACAGACAAGGATAGATATACAAATGGATAAAAATATTGTTTCTGTTGAACTTTAACTAGAGATATGGAAAACCCCTCTATAAAAACATAATACAAACAGTCCTATTCCTATCTAAGCACTTTGTGTCCCATTTTTTCAACTCTTTTTTTAGTAAATTAATGAAAAATGCAGAAATTGTAACTGTAAAGTGTGTGATGTAAAACTTTTTTTTTTTAAATGTTCCAAACTTCTTGTTTCCCAGTGCTGACAATTAGGTGAAATCTCACACCCTCTCTCTTAAAGCTGTGAGGTCTTGAAGAATGAGAATGGCTCTATATTGCCATCTACTGACTATAAATATAGCACAATGTAAAAAAGCTTTAATTTTTAAAAATATATTTTTGGATGCAGTAAGCTTTAGACAATGTTTTGCACAAATTTATATGGCACATATATGAATATCTGATCTCCATATTATTATGTTGCAGACATTTTAACAGGGCTTTACATTTAGCTATATACTAGAGGGTTGATACATCATGTTACTTGTTGTATTACTGTATCTGAAGCAAAAAAAAACACTATAAGCAATCACTGTCATAACAATAAAGAACTGTGTGGCGTATAAAACGGGCTTACTGGGTTATGATTCCCCATTGTGATGTACTGTACATACCATTAACATTCTAGATTCCTTAGAATTATGAAAAAAAATCATAATGATTGTTTCCTTTTGACACTTTACTTCCTTCAGAGTATGAGGGAACATTACTATTTTCATATCCATGACAGGAGAACATCAGCAGAGAGAAAAGATAGAGTCTGAAGATGGGGGAAGGAGAGATTGAAGAAGTCTCACACCTTGTTGTGAAGCACCACCACATTGTGAGGGTCAGTGTTCAGCCAAGTGTCCATGGCCTTACAGATGCTGCAGATCTTGTCAAGTGCAGGAGCGTGGTGGTCTGGCCAACCAAAATCCAGAACCTACAAAAGACAGTCAGAAAATCATACCTGTCAACACTACAGATGACTTGTTCTTGGCACATACAGTGTATACCACAGTGTATACATTGTACTGATAGGACTCGAAAGGCTACTGTTTTAATAAAAGAGTTACTATATGTCCGAAACGTAATTTACTGCATGATGTCCCCATCAACATTTATAGATAGTGCAGGACTGATTGACACACTGATTTCTAAATTCATTCCAAATGATCAGGATTACTCAAGATTCAAAATGTGAATTTATACGTGACAGTTATCCCAGGGTAAAACTCACAGTGCTTGCAAATAAATTCTAGAGTTATAGATCTGAGACATGGTAGGATCTTTTACTTCCCTAGACTTGCACTCAGATTTTGTCATTCCCTGAGATATCTGTCTTCTCTTAATATAGGCAAGTCTGATAAATATGTGCACATCTGGTAAATTTACCTTTGGATTTAGCTTGGCAATGTCATACCTTCTTTCACTGAGGTTAAAGAGCTGAAATAAAGCACACTTGTTTAATACATGCTGGAATATTTCATTTCTATATTACTTGTTTTAAAGTAAAATTAACATAGTAGGTACGATATGTCTAACAGGTTCACTATAGTATGTCTAGTACTTTTTATTGATCTTTATTTAAAAACTTTAAAGACTTTTTAAAGAAATTGTTACAAATGATAAAGAATAAAGAACACAAAACAGAGCGATTCATAGTCTATATATAATTCCAATATAATTGTACATTATCGGCTGTTTTTTAACAGCTGCTAACTAAGGTTGTTGTATACCAGCTGATAAATAAAACACTGATCAGAGTTATATGAAGTTCTGTAGCCATCCAAATAAAATTAACCTTGAAAGCTTTGGAACGGCACCAATGAAATAATCAGATTTTATTAAATAAGGCACGATCACAAGAGCAACCAAAATTCAGTGAAATTCAGCTTCACCAGGAAAAACACAGAAGCCAGTATATCCTCTGCTTTACCAAATAGTTGTCTCCATGTTTGGACCTCAGCATTGTTGCCACCTCCTTCAGATTGTTGCGGTAGCTCTGCTCCTCAGCATTACTGGGAAAGGACACGGAGATGATACGCTCTGTGATGTAGACAAGATCCACATCATAACTCTCATCCATGGCTTGGATCAGACTCAGGCTCCTGTAAAGACACAGACATCTGTTCAGACGGATTAACTTTTTAAAGTAGTTTTTTTTTCATTCCTCTTTTTCCAGTGCCTTCTAGCTAAACTTACATGGCAAATTAAAATACAATTATTTATTTTCAATGGCAAAATCTTAATTTTTATTCTGACCCCTGAGAATTCTGTATTTTCTTCCCACAGTATTTGAATCACTACAAAACATTATGTCCTTGTTTGTAATATCTATGGAATTGCTCTTAGTACAGAAGAGCAAAGTGTAAGAAGCTGAAAAGGTTTAACAGCTATCAACTTAAGGCTCTATATTGCTATGATTTGAGCATATTTTACACAAGCTTGTGAAATGCATCTGTGGATTCCAATGCTAAATACAGTACTTTTCAAAGACTCAGCAAAACCTAGACCTGTGTAAATGGGAATGCAGTAATATTACAAAACACGTTTTGTTAATATTAATTAATAGACCATAAACATTTAGGATAACATATGGGCTCCAGTTGCAAGTCAATGCATGTACTTCACTGTGTTGACAAAATAATATATTTATAATTGATAGCATTAACTATGAGTTATGTTCATCCTAATTCTTGATTTCTGTAGTGCTTTTACATTTATTTACACATAATGCAATGCCTGTGGAACTGTTAATGCTATAAACACAATCAGTGAATGAATGCTCAAACATTTTTTCAATATTATACCGTAAATGTTGATTTATAACCACAGTAAGTCTCACAGCAACTTCTTACCACAGAGTTTCTCAATATCCCTCAAGCATCACTGACTAATTTAACCCTTATACCTGTGGTTTGGATTCCTGCCAGAAATGTTTTCAGCAATTAGAATCTGCATTACTGAACTTTTACACATTTATTTAATTTCGAACTTCATCTGTGTGTAAACATTTTCACATTTCTATACAGTAAATACTTATTTAAAAATACCCTATACAGTATATTACATTTGAAGACTAGCAAAATTATAATATTTACAGTTATCTGTTTCATGTGCACTAGGCAAACTCCATTCTGTATGCACTGTATTCAATGCAAGTATGCACAATTCAAAATAAAATAAAAATGAGAACTTCCAGTATGAAAGATTGCAAATGAGAGAAGGCCATCCTGCCAGTCTGGTTTGGGTAATTTAAGTGAATCTAAAGTTTTGTCTCTTCACTTCTTGAAGTACCCCGAAATGTGAGACCCATCCAGCTAGCTAGGGAGCTGGTTCCAGACACCCACAACT